GTTAAAATCGAAAACTGCGGTTAACCGTATCGATCTGTTGGTGCAATGAGGTTGGTATGGTTTTGATTTTAATGACCCGGTTCGGAGTGGGGCGGGTATAGTATTTAGCGACGATACCTTCGTCCCAAACCGATTACCCGTTAAAAAAATTAATTTGGCAATTGGGCTTTCCATTATTCTTTCCCAACATTAATTGGGCAATTTTGACAATTGGACTTCCCCAAAATTCTGGCCCAATTAACATTACAGTAAGCCATTAACTCAGTAATCTAACTCTAACTCTACATATTAAAATTGAAACCCACACTTACAAAACACTCATCCACTCAACCAATGAATCAAATCAGATCTGTCGGCGCTCTGCTGCCTGTACCTCAATTTCAAATTGTAGTAATCAGAAACGAAATCTACCATCTTGTGAGCACACTCACTGAGTTGTTCTGCGTCTATTGGCTTCCAATCATATTCCCTGTACAATTCAACAAAACTCAGATACATTGTATTTGATTGCATTTTTTTTATAATATTATTTAAATATATGATGCGTGGTCATAAGATGCGTGGCCCCAAAAATGTGATTTTTAGCCTGTTTTGCTTGATAGTTTATGTGTTCTTCAACTTCTCTATATTCATAAGAAATGGATAGTCGAATTATTAATTTGATTACAGAATTAATGTGACTTTTTGCTGATGTTATTAATGAAATTACAGAATTCAAAATATATTTCGGGTTATATTGTTTGCGAGAGTTTGATAATTTACCAATCCAGTAGGGAAGAATTATTTTTTTATTTCTGCATTCATTTTTCATATATCTGTCAAACAATTTATATTTTTATAGTTATTTTCATTTGCATTTCTCTATTTTGCATTTGGAAGTTGGCATATTATTTGTATCTTCATTTGGGATATTGTTTGCTAAATTAGATTAGTATTGTATTTTTATTTTTATTGATTTTTCTTCATAATTTTTTTTTTCAATTTGACTGTTAGAGTTTGAACTTATAAAAAATAATTTATTTTCGTGGTTATTAACCGAACCAAATCGAGATACGAATCGAGCCGAACTGAACCGACTTACGTGGTTATGGTACGGTTATAGTATGACCAAAAATTTGGTGATACAGTTATGATTTTCACCGAACCGAACTATTGCCATCCCTATCCAAAAAAGAATAACATAAAACTACATTGATTGAACAATGAAGCAAAAATGTTGTTGCATGAGTTGCTTGCACATAAAAATGCATTTCAATTACGTAGTTAGTATCATTTATACATTCTTGACAGTCGATAATTCTATTATAATTAATTATCTTTTTCAAGACAAATTAAATCTATTCTAGTTACGATCAAAATCTATTCTTAGTCCGCATTCAAATGAATAGAATACATTCAATTTTACAATTATCTCAAAGATTGCACACGTGATAGACATTATTCCTAATATTTATTGCATCTATGTTAATCAAGCAGTGTTCTAGACCTATTGTGAGTCTCACAATACTACAACAAGTAACTATATATTTAATTGGAGATCAAATCAAATAATAGAACTACGCATGCAAGATTAATCAAGAAAAACAAGAATTTAACTAACTATTTGTTTTAAATTAAAAATAAATAATAAAATATTTCATCTAGATGAGAAGAACTAGCCTAGCACGTTGTTATGTAAATTACACCAAAAGATTTGAAAAAACATCACTCAAAATGAAAAACAATGATTGGAAAGTGAAAAATCAATTTTTTCTTCGTTAATCTTCAACCCGGACTTTGAATCTTCAATTTCTTGTGTTAATTGTCTTTGAATCTTGTGCTAGCTTCCTTTTTGTGGTGAAATTTTGGGTTTTGATATGCTGTCTCATTCTAGCCGTCATTTGTAGGTTAAATAATAGGTTGAATTTGATTTCCATAAGAATTTGGATCAAATTATGAAGTTGGGTTGTTCGGGCCCAGAAATGGTCCCCGCGCTCGCTGTAGAGCCAAATGGCTCTCGGGTTGGGGAAAATAGGGTACCCCGTGCGCAAGTTCGCTTCGGTTTGTCCCTAAGTAGTTTTCAGTATTTTGGCCATAACTTTTTTTACAAATATTCGATTGAAGTGATTCAGAACGTGTTGGAAAGATAATTCAAATGGCTGGCTAAAAATCCAAAGAATGGGTCTCAAGTTGAGGCTAAAATTCGGAGCATAACTTATTCTTTTGTAAATTGATTTGTTAAAATACTTCCACTATATTTTACTCATTTGACCTCCAATTGCAATTAATTGATCATATATGATCTTCAATCATCGTTTTGGGGTTTGAATCAACTATTAGATGTTTACATTTTGGTCCCCAAACTTTGAATTTCCTTCATTTTCGCACGTTTTTCGTTTCTTTCTTTCAAATCCACCAATTCGCATTGAGTTTTACCCAATAAACATATTTAATATAAAATTAAGCTATAACTCATCCAAATCACTAACAAATACTCTAATTTTATTGCCTAACAAATTACACTTATCAGAGGGGAAAAATTCATTGTTCAGGGATTTACTTTTAGGAAATCAAAAATCAGGTCTCAATATTTAAAATTGCAAAAATCAGGGTTTTTTAAAATTAATTAATTATATTTCACAATTATTATATTAAATTAAATATTTAACTATAATATAATATAATTAACCCCACCCCACCAAACTCCATCTCCACCATCCCCATTGCTCTGGCGACTGTTCTCCGGCTCACTGAATTCCGACGACCGTTCTCCGGTCGCACTGAATTCCGGCGACTGCTCCGATTTCAACAATTGTTA